CAAATGGAAAGAAAGGGATGAAAACAGGAGACGCTGGGGACAGAGGAAGAAGATCTAATTTATGTCTAACTGGAGGCCCCGAAAGAAAAAAATAGGGCAGAAGCCACACTCGGAAAATTAGCAGAATGCCCCAAAATTAATGCTAGACATCACATCAGAGAGTCAAGAACCCCAAGGAGGATAAATACAAAGCAAATCATACCTTTAAGGTACCAGCATTACTGGGGAAGTAAGTAGCAAAAATAATCATTTCTATTACATTGTAATAAGTCAACAATGCATGCTGTAATCCCAATAGCAATCACTAAAAGAACAGTAGACAAATGTAAAACACCAAAACTATCAAGAGAAAACATGTAATTTTTTAAAAGTGTGATTAACTTAGCCGGGCATGGTGGTACAAGCCTGTAATCCCAGCACTCGGGAGGCTGAGGCAGGAGAATTGCCATGGCTGAGGCCAGCCTGGGCTGCAGAGTGAATTAGGTCAAAGACAGCCTGAACTACACAGTGAGACTCTGCCTCAAAAAACAAAAGCTAAATAAACAGTGATTAACTTAAAAGAATACTGGTAAGACAAAAGAGAAAAAAGGGAATGTAACAAATGGACCCACAAGTAAATGAACACAAAGATAGCAGATGTAAACCCCTAAAAACTGCATCGACCACTTAACAGTTTGCCAGGAGTGCCACCTGGGCAGCATGTTTGTTTATGTGCTGACTATCCTGAGCACTGCTCAGACAGCTATCATTTCAACCAGTCAACTCTTGTATTGAATACACTGAATAAATTTTATTACAATGTCTTTTTTTTCCTGGTATGTTATAAAAGTTAATGAAAAAATATTTACTTTTTGGTCATCCTGTATTTAAATAACCGGACTGGCTAAGTGGTTAAATGTAAATGAACTCAATATCCCCATTACAAGATAATCAGTCTATATTTAAAACCAAAAAAAAAACTCTATTTGTTGGTTACAAAGGACATACCTTAAAGACATAAAAGAGATGAGAGTGGGGAGAAGGAAAAAGAGATACCATGCCAACAGTAAGCAAAAGAAGCCAGGATGTAATTATCATACCAGACAATTACATGACAATGTAATTATCATACCAGACATACTCTGTTTGACACAGAGTAAACCTGAGCATAACAAAGTAATAGAGAAGTCAGTCCTCAGGAGGATGTAAGAATTCTGCATCTACAGGCCATCAATAATAGTTTCAAAACATGTAAAACACACAAAAACAAAAACAGAGTAAAAGGCAAATCCATAATCACAGCACAAGACTTTTAATGTCTCCTTTGATAGCTGACAGAATAAGCAGAACAGAAAACTCATTAAAAGATGTGATCAATACAAGTAAAAGCCATACTAGAAAGAGGTATATTGCTACACCGATGTCAGAACTCTTTCTGGGTGCACATGGAACGTTTACCAAAATGCTGTCATTTGGGGGAGTGGAACATTTACCAAAATTGTCTGTCCATTTTACAGAAGCAGAAATTAAAATAGAGCCTGTGTTCTCATAGGAAACTGGGTTTGGGAATTACAATCCACATATTACAATGCCCTAAAGCTCATTTCTGACCTCAGATTCAATATATGATGCTGCCTTTCACACTTTAACACAATCTAATATCCACAGGTCCCACTGCCTATACCACAGCATCAAAATCATAATGTCTCACAGCCGAAGTGCACTCTGTATGCTAGCCTCCACCCAGCGTCGAAACGAGCCCCCGGAGCTGAGAAACACCCAAACACCGGTGTGGTCCCTTCAGTAACCCTACATCCCTGACCTACAGTGATACCCTTCCTTCCTATCCCACTGTAAAACCTTCCTACAACCTGTCAGTCTACACCTCAAAAACATCTTTCCCCGAGGAGGAGAAGAAAGACCACAAGTGTCTTCAGGACAACAATCACAGCAGCGCTGCCTCAAACTGGGCACTGACCTACTGGTAGCCAGGTACTTCGCACTGCAGTGAAGAATATACTCCAAAGGGAAACAAGACTATTTTTGCAATGTATATAGTTCTTTCTAAGGATCTGTGATATTAATAATGATCTTTTCTACTCAATTCCATTCCATTTGACTTTTTTTCAGTACTAGGCACAGAACCCAGGGCCACGCACATGGTACGCATATGTTCCGCCATGGAGCTACACCTCTAGCCATTTTGTCTTCAAAATGCTAATCTTGGCCCACTAAATTGACTCCACATTCAGTAAAAGGGTCATACCTCGTTTTGAAAGCCGGCGGGTGGCATGGATGGCCCAGAATTCACCTCTGGAGCCAGAACAGCACGTTCTTTCCTCATCTGGCTCCTCTGCACCCATCCTGCAACCCTGAAGCCCAAAACACCACCTATCAATTGCTTTGACCTCAAAGTAGGCAGCTCGGAGCCTAGCTGTGGGTAAACTGCAGCACACGGATACCCAAGGGGGGCTCCAGACACTGGCCTCTGTCGGCAAGAGCTCGAGAGGCTGCTGCCTGTGCTCGGCACCTCCCCAGACCAGGGCTTTCTTCACCCCAACCCAGGCCTCCTCCGACCACCCACGTGCCCCCCGACAGGGTTTTCCCGAGTGGTCTTACGCTTCCTACACATCTTCCTATCGAACTCGTCCCACTTCAGTCTGCTCCTCAACCTGCTGCCCAGAGGACCTGACTCCGCAGTCTCAGCAGGGCGTCATGGTGTCCACCACATTCTCCTTCACCAGCAGGACTTCCCCTCTGTGAAGCTGCCATGCAGGGCCCCATGCGGCCAAGGACTAAGAAAACCTAACACTGGCCCACAGATACGCTGTACACCGCTTTTAAAATAGACTTCATCAGCGGAAAAATGGTGACAGTTTTTTCTTTTTTCTTCGATTTTCTGTTGAGAAGAGTTTCACATTGTTTCAAAGATATTCTAGATACTTTGACCTGATTTAAGGCCTCAGTTAATGTTCTTTCTCCCATTCTTTCTGTCCCTCCCTCTTTTTAAAGAACCGTTTCTTTATTTATTTTTAGGGTGATATTTTTTTCTCTTTTTTTAAAGACTTGTGCAATACATTCTGAAGTGAAAATTAGTGGATTTTCTGCTGATAAATTACAGCATTTAACTGACTATGACCCAGATCGATTTGCTGAATATTTGGTAAAGACTAGTTTTAAGCTGTAACAGAAGATTAATCCCAAATGGCAGAGCATCATTATCTAGTTTCCTTTTGTGCTTATATTTTTCAGAGGAAAAATATACTACTGTAAGTTGTAAATAGGCAACACAAACTATATTACATGTGAAACTGCGACTACTGATAACATCACCTCAGAGGCACAGATAAATAAAGCTTATGCATCATAAAAAAGACTTTCATTCTGATCACTTTTCCCAAACAAAGCGTCTGTTATCACCACCACTACCCTCCTCCTCCCACAGAGACACCTGGTCAAAAATACGGCATACCCAGCCTCTGGGGGATGGCTCGCCCCAGGCGGGGTGAGGGGCCCAGGGGCTGTAGAGGAAAACTACACTGGTCAACACAGGGTAGTACCTGCCCTGGTGTCTTGTGCAACATTTTAGTAACAAATAACAATTCCTGGCTGATTGCTTGTCAGTGTGCAAAGCAAGGAAATGTGCCAAGTCTCCCTGGGGCAAAGCCCATTAGGGACCACCAGGGCAGTGACTGTCAAACTTATATTCTGGTACCGGGACTCCAGAAAGTCATCATGGTCTACGAGGAACTACGAACCCATGAAAAGAAAAGAAAGCAATAATCTTCTTCTATAATTCAGATGTCACCTGGTAAGTTCTACAACAGCTAAGTAGCAGCAGGTGGCAAATTTTAAGGTAACTATGGAAGAAAATGTTACAGTTACAGACAGCTGGGCGTGGTGGTGCACACCTATAATCCCAGTACTCAGGAGGCTGAGGCAGGAAGATCGCTGTGAGTTTGAGGCCAGCCTGGACTACAAAGTGAGTTCAAGGCCAGCCTGAACTACATAGTGAAATTCTGTCACAAAAAAGAAAAACAGCTATAGTTGCAGAAATCCTATGCAACTTCATTAGTCTGCTTTGTAGACTGGAAAGACACCTGGCCTCCTTCAGGTGTCTTAATGATAGTCCACACTGTCAACGCAGTTCCCAGAGCACCAGGCCATCAGGAAGAACAGTACCAGGCCTGTGCAGTACCCAGGCTTGAACGAGTAGGACGGATGCACCAGTCTGGATTCTGAGTGTCCCCAATAGGCCTGTGTGCTGACATCTTTGTCTCCAGGCTGTGGCATTCCTGGGAGGCAGTGGAAGCCTTAGGAGGGAGAGGCTAATACGAGGAAGTTAGGTCACTGCAGTGTTCCCCTAAAGGGGACATGGGGGCCTTGGCTCTCTGCCTTTGCTGCCTAGCCACCATGAAATGAGCAGCTCCTCCTGCCACACCCTCCTGCTATGTCATACTGCGCTGCCACAGGCCGAAGCAACCACCCAAGGGACCATGGATTGAAACCTTTGAATTCATGGGATAAAATAACCTTTTTCCTTTTTAAGTTGATTCTCTCAGGTGTTTTGAGCCAGTGATGGAAAGCTGACAGGCAAAATGAAGTCTCCAAAAGATAAGAGGAGGGAAAAACCACACAAATGATGGATGGTACACACAAGAGGAGAATTACCAGCAAAAGTAAACATATGATCACAGGTCTTCACAATCCACTCAGCACAAGCATCACATGAACTAAGAGATCCTTCACATACTGCCTGGCAAACAAACCCTTGGCAAAGGCTGGGATGTGAATCAAACTGCGAAAACCCTGTAACTGGGCTGTCCTCCCATGGAAAACACCCCAGCCCCCCAACAGCTAATGCAAGGGCAGCCACTGTCACCTGCTTCCCTACCCTGGGATACGGGTGGCTCTCCACCTATTTCTACCTCCACACAGACCCACGGATGGCCCTCGTTCCCCTCGGCTGGGAGTGGCATAGCAGGGAAGGTAAGGTGGCACAGGGCACGTGGCCTGCTTACCTCCGAAGTTGGCCAGCCGCCCAATCCGCGTAACTGGCACCTTCCTCTCCCGAGCCTGCTCACTGAGCTGCAGGGAGAAAAGAAAGAGACCTGTACCATCAGCAAATGGGGACAAGACCAGCCCCAAGGTTCATGCTGCCTCTCACACTCAAAGGCAGCGCACTTTACCAAGACCCCACGTTCTAAAGACCCCGACCACAGCACCTAGGAAGTCCCCAGACAGGAAGCCGATGCCACCAGCCCTTGGCCAAGAGGCCTCCCTACGCACCATCTGCTTGTGTGGCTTGCTCTCAGGGCGGGCCTTGGCCTGCCGGGCCTTCTCAATGTCCTCGGCCGTGAGACCCCCCATGGGGGACTGGTCCTGATGGAAGAACCTTCGCTGGAAGCCAGTGGCGAAGAAAAAGTCTCTGGGGTCTGCAAAGAGCCTCCCGTTGACTCTGCCCAGCGGGGAAGTGGCCTGACCCGGGAGCCCGGCTTCCCTAAACGGTCCACTGGCGGCATAGGTGGGAGCCGGGCCCTCACTGTGGGTGTGACCCATGGACGGAGACCCATGGTCAATGGTGGAGGCTGAGGAGAAGTCAGTGGAGGCCCTAGCTGCCGGTGCCCCTGAGAAGGGGATCTCTGCTTCTAGGTCATCGAAGCTCTCAGTGGCATAAGACGCCTCCTGTTTATCTTGACCCTGGAAGGTAAAGGCCAGCATGAGAGGAGAGAAACAAGTCCCATGGCCACTTCTTCCACCACACCCACCTCTCCGACTCTCGGGAGGAACACAACGCTCTCCCCGAGACCCGAGGCCCCTTCCCAGCCCAGGATCGAAGACCTGGGTTCCAGCCAGCTTCTGTGAGGGCCCACCATGTGGAGGGTAAACCAGGTAAAACACAAACCAGGGAAAGCATTCGGACATGAAGACCACCGAAGACTCGCACACGGCCGGGACACCCACCCGACCCGTCGCAGGCTGGCACCTCGCTGCGGACAGGGGTTCCACTGGCCACAGTGGTCATGGAGGTTCCCACTGGAAGGTGTCCCAGTCAGGACCAGCCTAGTTAACCCTGGGAGCTCGGGGTACAGGGGAAGGAGGCAGAGGGTACAACGTAATTTCTTTAAAGAGTCACCCAGGGCAGCCAGGGCCAGCTTCTACTTCTGAACCTGGAGTGACCTTGAATGAGCTCCTGACCCTTCTCCGCTACTTCCTCATCTGAAAATAGGGCTCCCCACAGTCACAGTGACGAGTTCAGCCAAGGCCAAGGAAACTGCCAGACAAGGCTAGAATTCAACAGCACCGAGTCCTGAAGGCAGGCCAAGGGCCTGGATCCCTGGCTGAAGTACCAAGGAGTAAGTGGCCGAGCCTACGTGCTGCCCACGAATTATGCAAAAGCTATAGGAGACAGCAGGCCCTTTACTCCCAGCGTCTTACAATGCCTCAGAATCTGGAGAGACACACGGGCCTTGCCCTCCACCGGGAGGAGACACGCTGGCTCTCACCCTCATTTGACAAATGGCAAAGTAAGACTGAGAGCTGGGCTCACTGGTAAAGGCCAGCAGTCGGCAAACAGCAGAGCAAAGGTTCAAAGCCTAGGCCTGCCCTGCCGGCCACCCTGGGGTCACCGAGCTTTCTCAGAGCAGAAATCACGTTTAGCCTCACTGGCTCCTTTCCAGACAGCAAGGGGAGGTCCTGGAGCGAGGCAGGGCCCCACAGCGCCCACAGCGGCCGCCTGGCCCTGGTCACTGCCGCCTGCTGATGTAACTGTGCTGCACAGCACCCGGCTCCAGGAAGCTCCTGCTGAGTAAGCACGTGAAAGGCTCTCAGGGAGCTGAGGCACAAAGCTCCTGGCACCTCAGACCCCAGCCATCGGGGCCAAGGGAGACACCACACTGAAGCGTCGGAGTAAACGGAAGCCAGGCGGCCCCTGCTCCTTCAGGGCAGAGGGTCGTCCTGCCCCGACTCCGTATCTGCCAGGGATGGCCCGGCCTCTCAGACACCAGCCTAGGCCTGCTGGAGGAGAGTCGGGGGCAGAAGGGAGCCAGACAAGAGGGCCCTTGCCCTCAGGGAGAAGCCGCCGGGTCCAGCGTGTTATCTCACTTCTGTGGCGGGGCCTGGAGCAAGCTCACTCCCTGAGGGCTCCACAGGCCAAATCCCAAAGGAGGTCGGGCATGAGGTGCTGAGAAGGCACCAAGCAACACCACAGGGGCCGCAGCCCTGCATCAGTGGGAGGGGCGGCAGGGAGTCCCGGCAGGGACAAAGACAAGGATCCCAGTCAGCCCCTTTTTAGTAATGATCTGGCAGCAGACTGCTGAGTCTCAGCTTTGACATCTGAAAAATCGGGATAAGCTTCCAGGCCTGCCCCACCCCAGGACATCATGGGGTATGAAGACTTCCAAAACTCAATGTACACAGCATCAGAGAGACACTATGTCACCACTGGACACTAGAGAAGGAGGAGGAGGAGCTGTGAACCGTGTCCAGGGTCAGCCAGCTACAGGACAGAGGATGGAGTGAGGAAGCAGGGCAGCCTCTGTACCGCAACTCCCAACACATGTGTCCACTGCACATGTGCACGCCCGCCTGCATGCTCTCCCGTCCCCGGGACCATCTAGAAAGCTGCTGGCAACTCAGGGACACCCCAGCAGACAACCCCGTACTGTAGCCAATCTCGCTGAAAACCACCCCTTCCATAGACCCCAGCACAAAGCTGTCACCTCCCCTAGCATGAGGGACAAGAGGGAGGCTGGAGGTGAACCGCCCTTGGCCAGGCTGTGCCAGTGCCAATGCCACCCTGGGAAGGAGCAGAGCCCTGTCTGAGCCAGGTCCCCAGAGAGATCAGCAAAGTGAAAAGGGACATGAGGCTCTGGGCAGTAAGAGGGTGAGCAGGCTGATGGACACTCAGTCCTGCTAGCAGCTGCACAAGGGGCATCCCCCGACACTCTTGAGCCCAACGCCCCTCTGCACGGGTATAGGAGGGGTCTTTGGGAAGGGACTTGAATTACTGCCCTTACAAAGATGATCCCAGCAAGTATTGTCACGCTCCCTGTGCCACGTGAGGACACAGCAAGATGAGAATCATCTACGAATCAGGAAACAGCCCTCATGGACACCTAATCAGCTAGCACCTTGATCTTGGACTTCCTGGCCTCCAAGTCTAAGAAGTTCTGCCATACTCTCCCGATGGCCCTAGACCTCAGGACCTACCAGCCACAGGGCTCTCCAGCTCTGTTCACAAGACCAGCTCCTTGGTATCTGTGTCTTGCTTCACATTCCTTGGTCTCTCCAAGAGCTCCAAGTCTGACTCCCCGTACACCAGCACCCTCCATCCCATCCCCCAGTGCTGCGACAGTCTCCTTACCTGCACCATCCCCAGGACCACGCCAATCTGCTCCGCAGCTGTGGACTGCAGGGCCCTGGCTGCCATGATAAGCTCCCCGCCAAGGCCCAAGTGCTGCAGGTGGGTTTCCAGGGCCACCTGGGTCAGTTTGACAAGGCCCTTGGCCAGCATGATGGCATCCCCCAACATGGCAGCCATGCTTCAGGACTGGAAGAGAAGAAACCAAATAAGAGAAAGGGGCTCCACATCTCACACACTCACCAGCTCCACAAACTCTGGGCAGAAGGCAACTGGCCAACTGGCCGGTCTGTTGATCTGCCCTTCTGACTAAGCTGAGAGAAAAGGGCCCGGCCTAACAGGAGGCTCTGGCTCCTCCTGGCTCCTCCAGGCACTGAGCAGCATGGAAGACTGCCGCGTCTGCATTGTGGGACATTCACTACCCACATTGCCTCATATGGGCCTCACAGCCACCCCACAAGACACCCTTGGCTCAGAGCAGTCAAGTGATAGGACAGAACTGGGACCAGCACGGCATGTACTGACTCCTGGTCTAGTGCTCTTTCCTCAGGAGCAGAAGTCTGTGTTGTAGCAAGAATATCCCACTCCAAAGGAGCCCCCTGCAGGGCCAGGGGACTGTGCTTGACAGACCAAGCAGACCCCTCAACGGCTGAGGTGATGTCCCTTCACATCCCTCTCACTCTGCCCAAAGAAGAGGGACAACCAGAGCCCCCACCCCCGCCGCACGCCTGATTCCCTTACTCTGCGCACCGCAGCCTCATGGAGTTGCCAAGCCAGCATTTCCAAATGGAAGCCCAGGCCCAGGGGACATTGGGTTAGAAGGTCCCACCCAGCACTGAGAAGAGGCAGACACTCCCATGACATGAGAAGTGAGCATGAGAGCAAGTGGGAGGCCCATCTTGGAAACTATTCTTCTCTCCCTTTTCTCTCTACAGGGCCACAGTGTGTTTCCCAAAATAGGTCAGGTTAGAAAGCTGAACAAAGCAGTGGAGTCCACATACAGCCTGGCTTGTCATTAACTAATCCTCAGGGCTGAACGCTGGACCTAAGATGAGCCAGCCCTGTTACATCCTGGAGGCTGAAGAAAGATGCACAAGAGGGAAGGAACAGCAGGAGACCCCATGACCAACCAGGAACATCCTAGCCCAGTACAAGTCCTGGAGACACAAAAGTCAGAAGCCAAGAAGACAGGGCTATGGGCAGTACCTTGGGCTGGGGAACCTGTGTGGATAAACACCGGTGGAAAGGGGCCCAGACATGTGGCCAGCAAGAAGCAAGGGACAGCCAGAGAGGCCTCACAGGTGTCCATCTTCCCATCACAACAATGACAGAAGCGAGAGGAGGAGGACCACACAGACAAGGCTCCTTAACCAGAACTCCCAGGACATCTGAAGACAGTCCTCTCCAGCCTGTCCTTCACCTGCCCTTCATTGGTAGGGGTGGGCAGCTGCTCCAGGCATTCCTGCAGGGATTGCCTCTGCTCCTGGGTCTGAGACAGAGCCTTTTTTAAAAGGAAAATTATCAGGATAATTATCAGAGCAAATCACTCCTACATAGACACTGGGAATGTTGAGATGACCTGCCACAATGCGCTCTTGGAAAACACACTTCAAATGTCAGCAGCTACCACACACCAGGGTGAGGTGCTTTCCACACATCTCCCAATCTTTACAACCCATCAGTGACATCGTTATTATTCACTCCAGTTTACAAGTGAGAAAAGTAAGACGAGAGAGGTGAATTAACTGGCCAAGGTCATACAACTCCTCAATTGTGTCCCTAGGGTCCAACCCAACCCTGTCCTGCTCTGTGTCCACATCATGTTCCCCCTCAATGCTCCACCCAGCAACGGACAAGGACAACACTCTGCTGAGGCACAAAAGGCCACTTACATTTACACTCTGCCCCATGGCAGGGAGGCCCGGAGGAGACCATACCCTTGAGAGAAGGAAGAGGGAGCTGGCCCTGCTCATCACTAGATGCCATGTAACACTCTGACTCCACTCTGCGCTCCTGAAATCTATGGTAATAAACGGACTGAGCTCCACAACCAAATCCCGAGGACATCTGGGGAAAGAGTGTGTAATCAGAGCTCAAGTGGGCCTGGCACCAGCTCGCAACTCCAGGCCGCAGCCCTTTCTCCAACACACAGATACACTCTGACAACCACCCTCAAAAATCAGGGCGGGTACACACACCCACAGGAGCCTTCTAGAGCCTACGGGAGGAAATGATTTTGTTTTGTTTTCTATTTTTTCAGAGTGTGGGAAAAACTTAGGGCCTCACGCATGCTGGGAAAGGACTCTACCACCAAGATACATCCTCAGTCCCAGGAGGAGGTTTCTGAAAGACATGGAGGATGGACATGTGATGATGGACGCAAAAGGACCCCTGCAGGCAGCCCCAGGTCTGTCTATCACAGCCCATGCCCCGGGGCTCCCAAAAGCAAGATTTCCTGGCTCACCTTTAAGTCAATCCAAATGACCAGGACAGGTGTCTCCCAGAGGCCACAACTCTCGGTAATTCCAAAATCTTGTCTCAGCCACTACCTGATGTCCAAGCTACCTCAGAACACCCTCCTGAGACCTATTTAATTCAGACTTTGTTTTCAGGAGTAAAACACATCTGATTGAATCTTTTATCCAAATAACCACATGCTAAAGTTTCACTAGAAACAGCTAATAACTGATTAGCTGTTTGTGCTGATGGGAGTTCAACTTCAAAAAAGTTATTCCAGGCCCTGCGTCCCATCCTAACTCTCATGGTTGCTAACTTGTTGGCACTGAACACAACTTCACAGCAGGCTAAAATCATGCTTACTTTACAATGACGTGTTAAAAACAAAACAAAACAAAACGAATCTCAAAATTATTCCTAACAGGAAATATACTAAATAAACCAAAAATTTAAATTCCTGTATATGGGAACTATGGATAACAACTGTCAGTGTTTTCCTAACTGTATTTTCCTAACCTTTTTAGCTCACATACCCTATTTGCAGAATGTAAATGAATCTTTTAAAAAGTGCACATCAAAAGTAATTAATTATGCTTTTCTTCTGGCCAAACTGGTCTCATCCACCTGCCCAGTGAATTCCCAAGTTGTGCCAAGTCTCACCCTGCATACTGGGCCCTGAGTCAGCTAAGATGATCCCTGCCACATCCCGGAGGCTGAAGAAAAATGCAGCAGAGGGAAGGGGCAGCAGGAGACCGCATGTCGGCACCAGGCGCACCCCAGTGTGCCTGTGTGCGCTGGGGGAGGGGCTGCGACCTGGAGTCCCGAGCTGGCGCCAGGCCCACTTGAGCTCTGATTACCGTCTTCCCAGATGTCCTAGACATTCGGTCTGTAGCTCAGTCCATTTCTTACCATAAATTTCAGGAGCACATAGTGGAAAGAAGATCCTTATATGTTCCTGAGTCTTGTTAGGCAAAACCTGTTTTCATTAAATCAGATGTTGCTAAAAAAACACAATCTGTAATTTGTAAGCAGATTAACACACGGATTTCAAAACCACTACAGCCAGCTCATACCCATCCCCTTTGGCAAATATGTTTACCTACCATTCAGGGCCGTACCAAACCTCCCTCAAAGTACAGAGTGAGTCAACCATTCACTCCTTTATCAACTCCCAGAGTTTTCCACAAGGGAGTCCGCACCCTCAAAGGGGCAGAGCGAAGGACAGAGAGGCGATAACCACCAGAAGAAGTATCTTCCCACAAAGAAAGACAGTTTCCTCACCTGCTTTTCAAAACGTTACAGAAACCCTACTTCTAATTCATCACAATCCCAACATGACCCATAATCCAACCATTGTGATTTTTGTGCCAAATCTCCTCCAGGAATGCCCCAAGAACCAGGTATATGGGAGAATGTTTCCAACATGACTTAATATAAATAAATTTTTAAAGCCTCAAAGCACATTTAGTATCGAAGAATCCTGTCAGGGCTATGACGTCATCTACAAGTGTTAGAGACCACACTAACAATTTCCCCCCAACCCACTGCACCTCCGGTCCCTGAACAGGTTTGGGGGCCTCAGTCAGGAGTAGCTCAGCAGTGGCACTTTCCTACCATCCTCCAAGGATGGGAAACCCAGTGCCAGCGACCACGAAATTAGAAAACTGTTAGAGGGGGCGGACGGACATTCCATTTGGTGTGCCCATTAGCTAGGCACTGTATGAAAAGAAAAAGTCACCCCGCCCTTTACTAACACTTCCTCCTGCGAGGCTAGGCTCATCCCTGCAGGCTCAAGAGTCAACGTGCCTGGCCTGGGGTGCTCAAGACACAGTGTCACGCAGACACATCTATTACGGGAAGGCACCAGGGAGACATCCAAAGCCAACTGGAGCTGACAGCCAAGGTCAGAGGCAGCACCTGCCCAAGAAGAAAGGACTGTCCTCAGAGTCTGGACCCGGCTCTAGCTCTGCCACCACCAGCTGTGTGACTTGGCCTCTTTCGTCCCTCCTCAGGAAGGCTCTGGTGAGTTACCACACCCCTCTTCTAGTCTTAACATGCTAAACTGCTATCAAGAAAGTAAATAAAAATCTTCCCTAGAGAAAGAAAGAACTGGAATAAACGCAGCTTCCCACTCCCCAGAGATTGAGAAAGAAGACTGAGATTGAGAAAGAGATTGAGAGAGAAGCACCAGGTGCTGTCCCAGGACCTCTTCCTGCTGACCTTCACTCTCTGACCTTCCTGAAGAGCTGTCAGAGAGGCCCTCTCAGTCACGCTGAAAGGAGGCTCCCTCTGGAAGTTATCTGGGGCATGAAGACCTTCAAATCTAGTCACCAGAAATTAAAACCACCCCAAGGGATGGCCACCTGGCCAGATATAGTAACTTGTGTCAGCAAGAAAGTGACCTATGTTCTTTTTCAAAATAAATAAAACAGGCAATTCTAACAGGCAGAAAGCATCAGTCATCCAGCCACACAGGGAAGGGACTTTTATCCCAGCAGGGAGGTTTCCCACATACCTTCCTAGTGGTCCCTTCACAGTCAGCACATACCATCTGCACGCCTCTCCTCTCACCTGGAAGGCGTGTTAATCAGAATTTACCAAGCCATGGCCGGCACAGTGGCACAGTGGCGGCACACTTGCCTGGCATGCATGAGGTCCATAACTTGATCCTCACAACACACACAAATTTACTAAGCAAATTCAATCCCCCATAACTACAGAGCATCACCAAC